CTATAGTGCTCCACCCCTAGAATATAGACCTTACTGGGGTTTGGTGACACTTTGTGTTGCTTCAGTCACCTGCTCACGGCTCACCCCCCTAAAATTTCTGGCACCACCCCAGTAAAAAATATGAAAATCCGTCTATGACTTAAAATTTCCTCCAGTTAGGATGTTTTCTGGAATGACACATCACACATAGTAATAGAATAAAATGTGGTTGACAATTGACACAAGTAAATCCAAGGGGAGTCCCATTCCATAATGGACACACACCATAGGCAGATCCAAGGGAGAAGGTTAACTTTTGATTGCAACCACTAGAATTTCCATGATAGGATTGAACTCAGACCCTTGTGCATGGTGCCAATGTCACCACTCACCACCCCTCTTCCAAAATCGATATCCACCCAGATAGACAAGTTTAAAACCATGAACCATCCTAAAGACAGTGCAGAATAAAATACCAAGCAAGTCCTTTTAAATTGTTATGTTTATATTTCCAGGTCGTCGTTATCAGAATTTATAAATCAGATAACAAGTAATGCGAGAAGTAAGTCTGCTAATGAGTTTAGACAACTAATAATTAACAGCATGTCCAATAAAACTATTCCTTAATTGCATGTATATCGTTTGTTTTCTAGTGTTTGGATTTTACATGATCCCAGCATTGTTATACTGCTTGTATAACAATCTTGCTTTCACTAACTTGAAAGCTTATGGCCCGACTTCATATTGGTTGCTTCTCCAGTTTCGTGTTGTTACAACTGGTATTGTTTATCAGGTAAGATGAAACTAGCATGATATTACAATGTGCTTATTAACCCATTAAGTTGCATTACTTTATTATTTTACTCTGTCTAATGCCAGATGATTTTACTCATAAGGGGAGAGCACCAGCACTCAATGGTTTAATCAGACAATCTTCCCTGTGGCTACTAGTTAATTAACCCATTTTACTATTTTACTCTAACACCAGACAATTCTACTAATAAATTAAAAGGGGAGAGTACTAGTGCTGAATGGGTCAAAAACCAGATCTCATTGAGAATACACTTTTCAGACAATCAATTTACTAGGTTGGCTGGTAACTATGTACTTCCTTACCTCTAGGTACTATTTAGCAAACAATTGTCTCTCAAACAGTGGTTTTCACTTGGTCTTCTCACCTTTGGTTGCATTGTTCAACACATCGGGCACAGCTCAGCAGAAAGCTCTTCCTTCAACTTTCGAGTGGACAAATACCTACTTTTAATGCTTGTTCAGATATTCAGCTCCTGCATTGCAGGTGTTTATAACGAATACCTCCTAAAAGGAAAGGCAGGTGACGTCCCTTTCCTAACACAGAGCTTTTTCATGTACCTTGATTCAATAATCTGTAACTTTGGTTACATGTATTTCAATGGTTCATTCTCCAAAGCTGTTAGCCCAGAAGGACTTGCCGCTCTCAAAGAACCGATTGTGCTTGCGATTATCCTAAACAACACCATTGCTGGGTTAGTTACTGCAATCCTGCTCAAAAAACTCAATTCAATTTTAAAGCAGTTTGGTGCATCATTGGAGATAATATTTACTGCCCTACTGGTGTGGCTTTTATTTGGCAAGGCTATCACAAGTTACACTCTCTTCGCTATATTGATTGTGTGTACATCTATCTACATATACTCAACAAGTCCTATAGCAAATCCATCTACCAAAGAGAATACCTCAGAATCTGTAGGCCAAGACAGCAGAAAAGGAGAACATGTGTAGATTGTAGAACCATTCATTCTTATTGTAAAATGTTTCATAGTGACTTATAATCATCTAAAATATAAATTGTCAGTACAATTGCACAATTGAGAATTTATTAAAAATTCAAATAAGCCGTAGCTTTTAAACTGTGAATTTTTAAAAATTATTCAGTCAAAATAGACAATCTGATGACGTTTTCTGTTTCTCACTAGACAGATTTAGATAGAGGACGCGGACGTCAAAGACGATGTGAAAATGGCGTGTTGTGCCCATGTATGGATATGCCACGCCATTTTGACGCCATTTTCGCGTCGTCTTTGACGTCCGCGTCCTTGATCTAAATCTGTCTATTATCTTGTCTCTCAAATAGACTATCATATAGAGATTTAGGGGGTGTTTACATGATCTCAGTTTGATGGGATGTGCGATGTTGACTGAAATGTTTGACGAGAAACTTGAACAACCCTTTGTTTGCTATCTATCACTAGGAAAATAATGTAGTTTTGCTGAATCAATGAACCGTGACTTTAATATTTCAATTCGTCAAATTATCCCTCATCCCAAAGCGGGATCATGGCTAAGACCTCAGTGACACTCTCCAACAGTTGCCGATTTCTATTCCTCGATCACTGGCGAGCATTGCAGACAGGGGATTTTCATTATCGTATTCCATGTGCGATCATTCTCACAATTCCGAGAATTTGATCTGAATTAGAACGTCTGGCGACTACCGCCGACTGTTGTCTGCGACAACCGCGACTCGTGAGTCTCCAGCCAGCTTGATAATTCCCAAATGAAGAATTACTTTTCCCATTAATGGATTTTACATGATTTTCAAAGATTTGCCATGTTGAAACCATTCATGGAAAAACAGAACTCTCACCACTATTTATTGGTTTGGTAAAAACCATGTTGTTTAATTATTTACCATTAATGGTATTTTAAAAATGTTTTCCTGTGACTATTTAGGTTATTTCCTTAGACCTGCGAGTACTTACAATTTAATTATGATTAGACGAACAGTTTACTGTTGTCCATTTAAAAGATGTACAGCGATCGATTGCGGTGCAAAATATTTCCATCTCGGCCATGCAGAATAGACGTTTCCCAAGATAACTTGACGACCTCGTTCCATTTTGAATTGTGTCCAACCTCGTGCCCTGAGCATGCGATCCTTCAGGGTATACGAGATTTAATGGTGTTGAAATATGGTTGAAAAAACATCAGGAGCGACACACTGTTGAATATGTACTCGACCCGACTTTGTTTTTGTGTGGACATTAACGAAAATTGAAATTTTTTTGTAGAAAATAAATGTAAAAATTACAAATAATTTATGAAAAGAAAGCTATAGAAAGGTTCACAATATAAGTACTATATTTAATGAAAAAATATCGCGCAACCTTATAGAAATTAGTCACTAACCAAGGAATTCTGAAAATGACTTATACCACGCGAAAAGTGGCCTTAGACGAGGATGTGAAACTCTCTTGGGAAACTAAATGTTGGCGGTTTTTTTGTAGATGGAAATTTCGAGTGTCATTTTTGGCGTCTACTGGAACAGTAGTCTCCATATACTGTCGATGGGGAGTTTAGATATATGTATGTAGTGGACGGTTCACTTCTCCTGCGAACAGGCTCTTTGGTTAGGTTAAAGCCCGCGCATCTACGAAAGTTTCCGAACTGTTTCCGATAAATGGTTTTATCATTCATCATTAAGCATTCTTTGTTCTTGATCCAGTAGATGCCATGTACGCTACAGCGTACCTATTTTTTTACATTGTAGACCTAACCAGGAACAGTTGCGAAAAATGCAACTATAGGCCCTCTGGCAGGAATCGAAATCTCCATCTACAAAAACCCTCCAACATTTAGTTATACCGAGTGAGATGCCCTGATATTTATCTTGGGAAACGTCTATTGATAATTTCACCTTATATAAACACTTGTTTGCTGGCAAGTTCATCTGTAAAAGGTTTTACCAGTTCACTGGTTGCAAAATTGAAGACGAGTCCAAATGCAATGGATATGGGGAGTGCAGGCAGAGCTCGCTTGAATATCATCAGCAGTAGTAATGTTAAACACAATCCCTAGAACAAGAGATAAATTGCAATTGACATCTTCACAATGACGTCATCTTGGACCATCATGATACATCCCTGTCTGAACAGGATACAAGGGCTAAAATCGTAAATGTTTCACGTTCCAAAAAATAGCAGAAACCACGTTAACACCATAATGGAAACCATTATTTGGGTGTTAAATACATCCAAAAGACTCAGTTCACACAGGGGCGTCACTAGAGGGGAGGGGAGGGAACACTCCACTCGTAAGTTAATCGGCAAATTGTCTTGTACCAGTCGTCAAAACATAAATTGGATAGAAAGGAACGAAAATAAAATATTTGAGTCAAACTTCTGAAAAGTCGAACTTCTACCAAAAAATTTGCCAAATTTAGGAAAAGAATAAAAAAAAATAAGGAGAAATGGTACGTATGTTGAAAACATTTTTCCTCCCCCCCCCTGGACAAGTATTCTGAGAACGTTGCAGAAATATCTTGGCAAAATTTCACTCACCCCCCCCCCCCCTGAGTTCACACTTTATTTTTCAACATCGTCACGTATTAATAGGCTAATACTGATTTTAAAATTACTTTGCCAATGAACTCCCAGTTCGTGCTTTATCAGATATAAGACCCTCGGCTGTCGCCTCGTGTTCTATACCTGATAAAACACTCCTAATCCATTACTGTATCAAAACATTAACTTACGATAAGAATAGCAACATAACAAGCTATTGTTGTATTCCAATCACCATACGATGAAGCTTTTCCAACCAGAACACTGTAAAAGATAAAGTCTCCAAGACCCAGCTTTACGCCCTCTGAACAGAAACACGAAACGAAGATTAACAAGTAACATGGTTCATATTTTGTCATAAATGTTGAAATAGAGAAAGTGAAACTAGTCCTCGCACAAGTTGGCCCATCTTGGTGCTCATTAGGGATGAGCCGATAAGAAAAATTGCCGATTACTGAGGCCGATTATTTATAAGCCGATTATTGTAACTAATCGGCCGATTAATCGGTACCCACCGATTATTTTAAAAAGCAAGCGAAAAGTCACAGGATGACCAACAATGAAGTTATAAATGCGGTTTTATTGTTTACAATACACACTTTGTACAATTAAAAACAGCTTCAGTCTCGCATGTCAATAGTCAAAGTTTAGTTTTGGCAGATTATGGTGTAAAAACAAGACAATATGCGGAGCTAGTCTGCTGCGCTTTTTTAGTGGAAATGTTCCCAGCTTCACTTCACTTGAGACGAAAGAAGGCACAGGTTTTGCAACAAAATGTGAAAATCTATTCGCTTGTATTCAGTATTTTAGCATGTGATTGGCAGCTGCAGAGAAAGTCTTATGGCCGATTATTTGCCGATTATCAGACAATAATCGGCCGATTACCGATTATTTAAAAAACGGCCGATTAATCGGCTTTGCCGATTATTTACCGATTAATCGGCTCATCCCTAGTGCTCATCACCTATTTTTGTAGCAACAAGAGGAAAGTCTCCTGGTTTAACCTCCAGTCAAAGATTATATTTGTTCACAAAGGTGTGGAAAATATCGGACCATTTGGTCCCAGAACATGAAATATAAGTTACGAGAACATTTTTTTGAATGAAGGGAGAGAGATAAAATTTATGCATGAAATAGACAGGAATAAAAAAGGAACAAGCAAACAAACGAGTGAAGCGAGTGGAAATGGATGGACTAAATCGCCAAGGTTTTTTCTCTGTTTTGTTAACAAGATGTAAGGCGTGTTGACCTCTTTCTCTAACACCCTCACCCTTCTTCCCTCCTCCAAAACTTACTCTCTTCATCCTCATAATTTCTGTTACTTTCTCTATCTTGTCCTGCCAAAGCGGAGACAGCATGACTTGCTTCGCTACGTGATGGACCGTCTCCTTCATCAGAGACTTGATCAAATGCTTCAGTGTTCACTGGTTCTTCTGTTGTTCGTCCTGGTTCGTTCTCGTTTGCCATGCCAATACCCCACATGATTGTTGCTTAGAAATGTACAGAAAATCCGTATAGGTAATCATATGATAAATATAGTTGTTCTCTTTGATCTTTACCCCACAACAACGCATAGAGTGACATCATAATAGGACGACGAATGACAACAAACACCCGGCAAAGAGATTTTCCCTCTCTCTCGCCCTCACTCCTCCCCTCCCCCGTGTATCAGGCAGTAAAGAGTAGACGAACTTGTTATTGTATGATTTTTTTTATATGAAAAGCAAAATATTACGCGGAGATATATTAAATCAAACTCCTCCCAAAAAAGTTTTGACTCTGCCATTTCCAAACGTCTAGTTTAAACTCCCTAACAACACATTTGTTTATACCTGAACATGGTGAAACTGCCGTAGCAAATTACTAAAGAAAATTTGATTTTGTCAAATATCTTTTTACTACCGAATTTTAACCATGTGAATCGCCGCAAAAACTTGTTTTCACAAACCAACCGAAATCTATATTTCGCTTCTTACGAACAAATTTTCCTGGTAGAAAATCCGGCTTTAGTCAACTTACAAGAGTAAATAAGAGCGGGAAATATTGGTTCATTTCTTTCTTGTGCAGTCCGTACTAAGATTTGAAGTGGACCATTGGGACACAGCACTGCAAACAGATCTAAATAACGATAAATGATGGAACATGCGTTTAAAGGGAGTGTCTGAGGTCAAAATACACTTTCGCTCTTGGCCATTCCTGGCTTTTTGTGGCAATTTCCCCTACCACTCCTCCCTAAGTGGCAAAGAGGCGGAAATTCGAATTACCCCTAACATCTGGGGGTTTACGTGACCAGAGGGAACCAGGGTCATTGCTGTAGCCCAAGCCCCAAGGCAGGTAAAAGACCCTGGCTTGCGAGGTTGGGTGAAATAAAGTTTTTTGTAAAACTGCTTACCATATATTGAGATTGCTCCCAAGATAAACCATGTTGTCCAATCTGGAAGATATTTTATAAACACCAGTGCCTAAAAAGTCAATCGCGTACAGTAAAGCCCTGGTGAAATATTAGGATGAAAGTTGATTAGAGTTGGCAAGGAAGAGTTTGCATGAGAATTTTCTCAACTCTCGTGCCCTGGTCAAACGAGAACAAGGCTCAAACAAGAAAGCTTTTTGTTCACGATAACAAGCTTTTTTTAGTTTAACCAGGAACATTTTAACCAGTGTTTGTGGAGTGTAATTGTTCCACAAGTTCAAGCAGACAAAATAAAAATCAATGCATGTCCAATAAACATACTGAGGAGATTCTTTGACCCCATACTTACCATCAATGCGCTGACAAGAATAAGGTATATCTGCTGAAGGAGTAGTGGTCCTTTCCAATGTATACATACCATACCAACCACACCAAAGTTCCAAACAATGAGTGACAAAGTGAAATAATCCATGGCTATGTTATACACTTGTAATATCTCCCTAAAAAATATTGTCATACATAGTAAAAATGTAAAGAAATTTAACCCACTGAATGGCAGAACTCTCCCCTTGACAAGTAAAATCGTCTGGCATTAGACACAGAATAAAATAACAAAAAAGCTGCAAATTGAGAAAAATAGTGAAGTTAGTGACGAGCCTTCGCTAGAAATAACTGTCTGTGCCAGTGCCATGTAGAAAGAACTGTCTGTGCCAGTGTAGGTAAGTGCCAATAGTATGAACAAGCTTTAGTTGGTGGGGATACTGAAAAATATAAAGCGAATTTCGACGTTTTGAGCGAAGGACCTTTTGAGTAACTCCAGACGAAGGATCTTCGCTTGAAATGTCGAAATTCTCCTTATATTTTTCAGGTAGTTGCATCCCTACCAACTACAGCTTGTTCTTTCAATGCTAGAAACGTTAATGTTCTGCTTGTATTCTTCAAGTAGTAGTATAGCACCGTCTCAATCCACAGCTTTCTTGTTATCGTTACTACCTACACTGGCACAGACCATTCAAAATAACAAAGTATGGTGCATAAAGGCACAATGTGTGGTTCCAGAAAAGATCCACACTCCCATGGAGGAAATTTCTGCCATCTGGAGGGGGAGGGAAGAATTTTTTTTTCCGATAACAGTAAGTGTACTAGGATGCCCAAAGGGGGTAGGGGGTTAACTTCCAATTTCCTCCATGGGGGAGGTATGGATGACATGTTTTCTGGAATGACACAATGCCATTAAAGGGTTAAATACTAATTTACTGTATTTGAGTAAATATCAGAATTGTTGTAAAGATAAAATAGTCTAGGCTAAGTATGATTTAATGAGATTCGGCTAATATAGCACAAGGGAATTTGCCACAGGTTTCCCCAATTACGGTGACCCCAAAAGTATGTAATTAGGTAAGCATAATACTCGATGTAAAGTGCATTTGATCATATCCACATGTAAATTTGCGTTATACAGTGTGTCAAAATAATTCGAATCCAAATTTGACAGACTGCTGTTTATAAAATACTAAAGTAAACCATATAATTTTTATATGGCAATAAAGAATAGCCTATTAGGTTTCCGATTATATCGTTCTTGTATCAATAAGATCAAAAATGACCAAGAAATCGTGTGTTAAAACTGGTTGCTCGAAGTCAAATTTTTCCGCCGATGGGAATTCGAAGTGAGACGTACAAACAAAAGATAATGCAAATTTAATTAATCAACAAACTGTTATGTAGCAAAATTTACATAAATTCGTGTTCATTTAAAGAGATTTAAGCTCCTATGCCTTCAACATATTGAACGAGAAGAAATTCGCGTTAAATTTGCATTTTAGTTTTCAGTGATGATTAGCATTTCAAAGCCTTGTGGGACTAACTTTGAAAGAAAAAATGTCCAATTCCCATCGGCGGAAAATTGTGATTTTTATGGACTTTTTTTGTCAAAGCTATTACTCCTTCATTTTCCAACTAAATGACGCGTACAACATGTCATTTGAAAGGTAAATAAATGAACTTAACAATGGTGTGAAAACCAACCGAATTTGTCAAATATATTCTGCGTTATTACACGCCAAATTTGGATTCGAATTATTTTGATACACACTGTAGAAATGCTAATCGTAATTGTGATTATCGTACTTACTGTATGTATATAAAACTAAAGAAGAACAGTAACAATAAAGATGACAAGATTAACCAACCAGCAATAATCTGCAAGATAAGAGAATCTGCATGATGAGATATTTTCGAAAACATGGACATTACACATACAGTAATTTAACCATTAATTATGGCTCCAGCAGTTTTACTTGAGATCATGAATGGTAGTCAATGTAGTTTTTAACCCATCAAGTTGCATTGCACTCCAATGTGCCTACTGTATTATTTTACTCTGTCTAACACCAGACAATTTTACTCAATGGTTAACATTTGTGATTTCAAACAGAAACTGCTGTAACCATCTAAATTCAGCTTGATTGACCGGCAAGTGTTTGTGCATCAGAACTCACTTGCTTATCAATGCAATGACAACACACTACCACCAATAACAATAATCAAGCCCAAACAACATATTACTAACCTTATAACATTTTTTCATATACAAAATGACCAAAAGAATTGTCATGCCTAAAACGACTCCAATAACTATGATGGCATTAAGAAATGCATGGCCAGCTTTTTCTGCCTTTGAGATTCCCTTCTGTTCATGAAATGGTGTGTAGATGCTATAAAAATATTGCATTAATTTTGTTAAATGTAGATTTTATCAGAAATCATCTTTATTAATGTACAGTTCAGGTATTGCAAAATCTAGCAGCACTTGAGTAACATTAGTGCAAGATAAAAGTTGGATCATTTGTGCAAGTGTTTTAAAATATTGAGTGTATCTTATTAAAAGTAGGTAGGTATAAAAGGTAGGTATCTCCCCTTGACAAGTACAATTTTCTAAAAAGTGCCCTTTTTGTACAAGCTAATGTTGCTGTAAATACTATATGAAGATCAAAGGTGCCTTTTTCGTTAGGAAATTTTGATGTTGTTAAAAAATTTGATTTTGCAAATGTATTATATTTAAAAGCATTAAATATGGTATGGCTGGAAAATTTTTGCCCTCCTTCCTCCACCAACATTAACGAGAAAATTTTCAGGTGCCCTTTTCATTATCCAAAAGTGCTCTTGGAAGATGGTGCCTCCTGAGTTTGGGTATGAAACAACTAGGCAGTTGATTAGGAAATGACTGCAGTACAAAATGACCAATACCTTGCATTGTATTTTGTTTGTATTTTGCTAACTTCAAATAAAACAGAAAAAACAGAACTTACAGATATTGTCCAGAACTTTGGGAATAATATGTCACAGAGGTGACAGTCGCAACAACAACAAAGAGGCAAAGTGAAACAGGGACAATCAACATCATAACACTTTTAAAACCATATTTTAATTCTTCTTCTTCATCGTATTCATCATCATCCGCGTTAGAGTTTGGACGATCGTTATCTTGTGATGAGCTCTGGCCATCGTCGTTTCCCTCAGGTCGCTTTCGTCTTCTCAATCGCTCTAGTCTTTCAATTTCTTCATTTGTTTGTTCATCCTAAAACAGTAGGAAATTAGGAATAGTTAATTAATTTCGTGCCAGTGTAGGGTAAAACTTACGGGGACGCAACTACTTGAAAAAATACAAGGAGAAATGGAACATTTTGAGCGAAAGCCGGGCCTAAAATATCGGTCGGTCACGGACATTGTCCGACCCATTCATCAAATTGTCCGACATACAGAGGAAACCACCGGACATTCTGTCCGACCTAAGTGAAACTGGGGTTTATTGTTTGTCCGACCCGAGTATATTGGTGTCCGACCGAGTACCCTAGTCCTGAACCAGAGTTTGTATAAAAATGAACTGAAAATGTTGCGAGGCGGCGAGTGAAATGGTGAGGTGGAAAACGGGCTTAAGCTATCGAAGTCGTATACTGCTATCATTGGCAAGCAAGTTAATTTTGGCTTGGAAATAAGTATGAATGACACAAATTATTTAATATCTTTACAACATTTAGTTCAGAATGAATACATTATGCTGATATTAATTTGCGTTATTCAGACTTATTTCCGACCCAAAATGAACTGAAGTCATCGGACATATGTCCGACCCAAACTCAAAGTCATCAGACATTTTGTCAGACGTCCCTGGAAAAGATATTTTAAGGCCTGAAAGCCCTTCGTTGGGAAGTTAGTAGCCAACTAGTAACCAAAAGCTACTAACTTGAAGGGTCTTCACTTGAAACGTTGAAGTTTTCCTTGTATTTTGCAGATAGTTGTATCCCTATCAACCAAAGTTTTGTCACTCAATTATTTTCTGTGACAAGTTTTTGGTTTTCTGACCACCACAATAGCTAGGCCTAAAAAAATACCTGTGGCTCCGGTTTCATATCGTGGAAAATTTGGGGTCGGTAGGTCGGAAATAAATTTTTTTTGAATATTTTTTTGATGGTTTTGTCGGTTTTTGGCAGGGCGATTTGCAGTAGAGTCCCAACATCAACATAAACTAGAGATTTGTATTTCCTATGGACAAATTTAGGCAATTTGGTTCAATAATTAGTGTGACAACAGATGCCATTTTGGCACGCTGTATGAGCAGCCTGCAACCACCCGGAGAAAATAGGGTCGCACAGTCAATCGCGTTGAAAAAATAATAGGGTCGGCAGAAAAAAATAGGGTCGGTCGGGAACCGGAACCACAGGTACTTTTTTTAGGCCCTATTATTGCAAGTGCTCAGATTATTTTGCCAATTTTTCTTTGTTGACCAGTACAGACAAACAAAATTTGTAATTTGCCAATTTTTTCTATGACATGTGCACTTGTTCAAAAGCTAGCATGTTAGCTCAAGTGTACTTGTCACAGAAATTAAAAATTGGCAAAGTTTACCTATACAGACAGGCAAATAAACCTTCAGTTGTTATATGAAAACTTGCTTGTCTGTAACTGATTTAAAACTGCAACAGTTTTGAAATCGGTTGGTAAGAAGCGTTTTGCGAAGTTGTTCATTTAAGAACATGTATATTTTGTAAACATCAGTAGTATGCATTGCATGTAGCTCATTTGGTCTTCAAAAAAAAGGAATATTGCTGTCATATCATTTTCAAAATTTTGTTCATATTTTCTACCTTTTTATGACACTATCACAATTTAGACAATGTTTGTGTCAAATATAACTACTTTATATCTGATTAAATACAAAATTTACTTTCTATGTGGCAATTTGCCCAGTTCAACACAGATTTTATCTAGCAGTCATATTTTGTGAATAACACAAACTTTCGCTCTTGAAATATTCATTGCAGAGCATGGGGCAACAAAACGTTCTTATATATCGCTGACAGTCAGAAATTGTACTGTGTATAGTGAATATTCAAGAGTGAATTTCAGTGTTCTTTACAAAAATATGCGACTGCGATCAGAAGTCAGAAGATAGCACATATCTACAAATTTCTACACAAAAGATAACGAAGTCCACAGATTTAAAAGTTCAAATAGATGTTGTTTTTTGAGGATTGAAGGAAAATGCTATTCATTAATAAATATTATTTTAAGGAATGGGTATTATGAGCATTTGGTTCTTTGGTTTTAAAAATAATATTTATATAAAATGTGACATGAAAAAAGCTGTCAACTTTTGAAACTTACCAAATCCCGTTCCATTGGAGTATCACTGTCGCCTGTAGGACACAATTGCGAAGTAGATTCACTTGACATCAGACAGGTGTTCTCGTCGGCTTCACTATCACTCATAACATAACTAGAAAATTAATTTCTTTTTTCTTCTAAAAATATTTTGAAAGATTTTCGAGATCAACTCTTTCACTTCTTCTGGGTACTTCAAGTTGGCTCTGGTGAAGTGTTTATATCCCGGTATGCAACACGGTCGTCATTTAAAATATAATCCTTCTGAAGTAGAAATCTCTGAAATCAGAGAATGTCGAAAAACTCCGAATGCATTACGGCATACGGTACGAAGAATTTTCGCCCAGAAAATTAGGCAACTGGTCTTTAATATACTTAGTTTTTATCGATAATTTTTGGAAAACACGTTGATTTTGACTTATTTTATAACCCAAACTCTTCCAAGCTTGGTGGGATTAACGGATCACTTCATTTAGCCAATCACGATCACGAGCTTTTTGGGATCGTGATCTGATTGGTTAAAATAAAGGCGGACCAGAAAGTAGACGGGTACCTACCATAGGCGTACCGGGCGGGGGGAGCGGCAGCCCCCCCAGTTTTTTGGGCAGTCGGGCAATATTCGATGAACAGTCGGGCAATTTTGGTTTGCAATAAAAAAAAATGGGTCAAATTCTGTCAATTTTGTCTAAAATTAATTCAATTTTTTGGCAAATT